TTATATCTTTTTCTGAGGAAATGAGTTAACGCTCGATTAACGGATTTGCCAAGGCGCACGCGAGATTGAATTTAAGCACGCTTTGTTTCGACACAGATGAAGCCAGCAGTAACTTTTGCTTCCTCGTTACCACGATGTTACACTTGTACCGTTATGTGCATTCTGAAGAAAATCATAAAGCGAATGACGAAGCTGTCCGAGCGCGAGATCAAGGTAGATCAGGACCGCGAGATGCTTTTTGTATTTTGTTTTCTCCGTTTTATCTGATTTAACAATATAACTCTACAAACTCTATAAAAGAAAAAAACTTACAACCGTAGAAATTAAACGTTCAAATATTCATTAATTAAGCTTTACTACTAGAATGATCGCGAAAGCTCGTCCTAAGCACTTGCTTTCATTTCAAGTTTTTTCAGTAAACTTGATCAATATTTTTAAAATAAAAGTTTCATTCTCTGTTTAATATTTATCAAACAAGCTTGACGCTTCGCTCTATACGACTTTTAATCCAGTTTATGTATCTCGCTGGAACGCCAGAGCCTAGACAATTCCTACTCGTCTTCGCCCACCACACACGCGCGCTTCGGCATGCATAAATATAAACATCGTCACGAGAAAACATAAGCCGAGATCTCGGTCTCGGGACGAGATTTTAAAGGACCGTCGCACGCGGCACCGTCGGCACGCGGAATCGCGGAAATCGACGTGAGTGGAATCGCGATGGACGCACCTGCACATAGGTATCCAATTTTCGCTTCCTGTGAGCACGGCTCCGTTCTCTTCGAGGAGACGAGATTGAGAAAATCCGCGAGATAACTCGCCGCGACAATTGACCCCCGCGTGAGGGAGGATCACGCGCCGCGATCGCGCCCGCGTGACGCTTCCGATTCGGCAGTTCAATGCGAACTGACCGCGTCCCGTGCCATACCAATGCTATTCCATTCCATTCCGCCACCATTCCTTTCGGTCTTATTCCGCGAGTGACCTCTCTCTCTCTCTCTTTCTCTCTCCCTTTACAACCTGACTCCCTCCTCTCGCGGTCGGGTCCTTTTCGCGCTCTCGATCACTCAGACTCTCGTGTCACTGCACTCAGCGGACGCTCGATCTTTATCGCCGCGACTCGCAATTGGTTCATTAAGATAAGACGCGTCGTATTCGACGGAAAGGAAGAGACGCTTTTCCAGCTGGGCGAGTAAAGCATCATCCGGCGAGACAGATCGCGATATCGTATCCTGTCAATCCACTACGCGTGAGAAAAATTTCGACCAGTCGTATCTCGCTAAAAATATGAGATTCTCATATGTGAAATGTGTGTTAAGTTTATGAAACGTTATGAACGTCATTATACGTTAATGCGCATGATAAAATATGTGTTATAAAATAAATATATTATTTCCCAATGCAACAGTTTTAAATGTTTTCATTCTTCTTTAAATACTGTTTATCAAAAAATTCGATGTAAAATAATTCTAGGTCCGTGATGTTTAAATTTACAAAAATTTCTTTAATATTTAAGAAACAGATTTTCTTAAATAAAAGATTATTGTATTGTGATATTGTTATTATTTCTTGATGTCATAAACATAACGTATAATAAAGTTTCGGTGATTGGAAGACTTGCTTTGAGGCGCGTCGATTTTTTTTTGATAAACAATGTATATATTCATGCATACCTTACATTTTTTTCCTTACATTTCTTATATTCTTATCTTCTCTACGATAGTTCTACGTATTTATTTCTATGTAAAACTATGTTGTGAATGACTAATCCCATATCTCCATATTTTTCGAGTTGTACCCGCATTCCAGTAAATTACAGTTTAATGTTCCAAGAGCGACGCTTTCGTCATCGCCGAACAAATGCCTTTCGAGATGACCGACGACGCGTCGTTTAATGTCGCAACGCTGATGAATGTTGCGGGAACTCGTCGCGTTTACGCAGAATTCGGTCGGCAGCATAAATTTGCCTTGTCTCACATTGTAAAGCTTATACATAAAGTTTTTTTTACAAATTTTTAAAGTAAGAAAATATCTGTGACAAAACTACGACGAATAATTATTACTTGCACGACTCAACAAATTTTGATCCTTTATGAATTCTTAGAACAAGAAAATTTATATGATAAAATTTCGACAAATCGTTGTCGCCTGAAATGATTAAAATTTTAATATTCCTAATTTCAGCACAAGATATAAACACAAGATTTTATCGCAGGAAAAACATCGCATTTATGCTCTTCGCAAGCACGCTGCGTAACGAGCAAGAGACACGCGACGCAATTTTTGATACGGCTGCCGACCTTCGTGTACGCTAAGTGGATAACCTCGTGACCTAATCACCGCTAATTTTATTTGTCAGGTATTTTCCGCAGTGCGAATTCGCGCGTCACGCCGCATTGTCGCGTTCTTCGGCGCGCTCGCGTTTTTACGCGTCGCAGCATCGGTGCTCGCCTGCCCGTCTGTCGCGCTCCAAATACCTGTTCGGCTCTACCCACCTGCCGTGATTATGGCTCGTGGCGTCCCACGTAAATCTAGCCGTGGATCGCGACGGGGGAACCTCACGCTACCGTCGTGAGAATCCATTTTTCTGCCTGTTGCACTCTCCTTCCGGCTGCCCTCGATCAGTACCCTACGTCGAGCATGCAATAATATTGCAGCCTGCTTTTTTTATCGCCTCCTTCCGGATCACCGTGAAAAGCGGACACCAATTCTTTTCTATTACATCCTACATAGCTTCAAAATTTGTTAATCATCAGTGTAGTGCAAATGTAATGCAATAAGAAAGAATGAACGATAAATAAATAAAAAATATAAAAATAAGAAGAAATATGTTAATTGTATTAATTGATATATAATACTTGTAATGTAAATTATACTGTATTTATATTCTATCAAAATTTTGAAGCCATATGCGGATCTCATAGAAACATTTTAGAATATTCTTCAAGAACCTTCGACACTAATATCAATTACGGCACTTCGATAGGGCGATTGAACTGAATAATGAAATAAAAATCACTCTGACGGCATCGAGTTATCAATATACTAAACAAAATTATTAAAGTATTGCATGTAAAATATCAATTTTGCGTTCACGATCTGTATATAATTCGAAGAAAACTGAAACGTAATTAATTGCACAATGATTTCTATGTGTACAAATATTCTACTACAAATAGATAACACATGAGAATCTATAATAGAAAAAAATGTAGAGAAATATTTATTAATACAAGAGCGATTTTCATCATTAAATAATTTCACACAAAGATCCGTGTTTTCTAATTGAAAAAATCAATCGCACGTTGCACGAAAAACCAACTTAAAAATCATATTCCGCGTACACGAATAAATAACGATATCACGGGATGAATGACAACATCGATCGCCATCTCGTTAACGATCCCGGCAGAGATCACGCGCGATCTCTGGATCGTGTAGGCTCATCCGATCGTTACAGCCGATCGATTTCGCGGGCGATACCGTGTACTCACGAAGTTGCTCGCACGATACCACGGAGACACTGTTGATCATCACAGAATCGAGAATAATCGCGTTGTATTCGTTTTGCAACGGCGATCGTATCGGTGGCGGCGAACGTATGAACGAACGAACGCGGAACTGCGTGCGTCGCGAACGACAGCCCGCGCGAGACTGCCGGCCCGATGACGACGCATCGTCTTTGGCATTCGGCTTGGATGGGCAAGGTAGACGAATGGATGGGTAGATGGATAGATAGATTAATGGAATAAAAGGATGGACGGACACGGACGCCGTTGCGCGTTTTAATGCACGTGCATAATTTTCGAATTTCTAACGTTTCGAATATTCGATTAAAAAAGCTCTAAATGATTTCTATTAAAATAAAATCTAGTTAAAAAAAATCGACTGAGAATTATTCTTAATCTACTTCCAAATAAAAAAATGTGTTTTATGAATTAAAACTTGATATAATGTAATTATACTTTTGCTTAAATTTTTTTTAAATTTTGCTACTTAGCTTGCGCGCAAATCTTGCGTTGTCTTTTTAACATATGTTCTATAAAAATAGATTAGATTGAACACCGCGGAGATTAATTTGCCTATCAAGGATTTCAGCTAATTTTACAAATTTTCAGGAAAAAAATTAATTAATTTTTACTTGCTTCTTTCAAACTTCCAACTGACTCGCGTGTGGCAATTTTCCGTGAAAAAAAGTACGTTTAATTAACCGAATAAATGGCGCGTGAATGAAAAAACGAGCGTAACGCGATCGTTTGCTCATCAATTATGCTGTTCCCAAAGTGCAATCGGACCTCCGCGAACTGTGTGATGTAATGCGCATTTCTGGACTAGGTCGTGACATTGCATAACGTAACGCATTAAATGCATATCGTGATACGCAAGTAGCACGGAGCTACCGATCGGATAATAAGCGTGCATAGCGCTTCACATTGTCGTCTCATCGTAATTACAAGCTTCTTACGAGCGACCGTGTACGCTTTACGTGTTTATTAATGCTGTAATGCGTTTTTAATGTGATGCGGCTTGATAAGAGCGACAACATAAGAAAATAATCAATCTACTCTCCGTTCAAAAATCATTCACGTATGAACGGTTAATTGAAACGCTCAATTACATCTATTTTTGAGAATTCAACGACTTGACGTTGATTAATAGATCTCTCCATCGATTTTGTAATTAACTTTTCTATTATTTGAATTAAAAATATCGAGATATGCTAATAGAAGATGCAAATAGATAGCAAAATCTACGTTCTTTTAAATCAAAGCAACTTTGACTTTATAAAGATTTTAATATCAAGTTTATTAAGATATATACTCAGTGCCGCATAAATATTTCATGAGAGAAAATTCAGATTAGTCGACAGGCACACCTACACGCTCTTTCGTCCGCTGTCACAATAATAATTCTGTATTCATAAATTTTCTCTCTTCCGCTTTGCTGAAGAGCATTGCCAATTCTGCTATAAAAATACTAATTTCAGATTTCAAATTTGCCAAAAATTTGTGCATCTTTATTTACGCCCGAGCCAGAATCAGTGATTTGCGCAAAAATTAGAGACTGGCGCGACGTACGCGGAAGAGGACGAAACTGAAGAGAGACGAGAGACGTCAAGGGAGACAAGCGGAGCGTTTGAAGCGGTACGTACTTCGTCACGGTAACGTGTGTACCGTGCGTCGTCATAAATGCAATCGTTCAAGAGGGACCGAGACAGAAGACGAAGAAAGACAGCAAAGAAGAGGAGATCGAGAGAAAGAGACGAGAAGAGAGCTTCGTCGTCGGCAATAAGTGCGCCGTGCGAGACCTTGACGGCCCGAAGAGTGTTACCATTTTCGCGGGTCGTAGTAGCGGATTGACGCAGGTGTGGACGGACTGCACGGTGCCGTAGGCTACGCAGGGAACGCGAATACATAACACCGGGGTGGGGCACAAAAGGGTGCGGGCTTTTACGCGGAAAAAAAGTCGAGGGTGCGGAGTTCGATTGAAAGAATAAACCCTAAATTCGTGACTCGCCTGTGAATCGTCGTAAAAATTCATTGACCTTTTGAAATTTCTTGCGATGGACACTTGAATAAATAAATGCCCATTTGCACGATCATGATATTTAATGTCAGATTTTATGTCCGTTAATTAAATTATTTCCTAGAACAGTATCTTATTTTTCAACGCGACTCTGTGAGAGTGACTTTTCAATGAATATAGCATTGACAATGATCTTCTGTGGATGGTCCAGAAATATACGCACCACTTAACAAGGGTAAGAAGAACGTGTTAATTTTAAATTAGCGGCATATAATTATTGAAAAAGAGATCTGATTTGAAAATAAAACATATTCTCAAATAAAATCGAATTTTATGTAAATATGTAACATAAATAAATGTATTCTTATAAACTCACGCGGATATACGAGATGTAAGTTTGTGTGAGTTTATGCTTCTTTAATATTTTTTCGGACCTTGCGAACGGAAATCGAATTTTAGCCACCCTCGCTCGTTCGTATCGCGAATTACGCGTCACCGCGTATTGCACGTCTAGTTTTATGCCAAACTAGAGCGCGGCGTGCTAAAGATAGGTTGTTGCAGGCAGGAATCGGTGTGCATCCACTACCGGCGCAGAGAACAAGGGCGACCTTGGCCTTATGAACTTATATAACGAGGAAGCGACCGATTCGCGAGCTCAGTCGTTTCGACGCGACGTGCGCACCGATTGCGATCTGTCGGTGCGTATTTCTGGACACCGTTCTCTCTCATCGATCCTTACATCAATTTCCGCATATTGATGATTGCTATTCGCACGACACGTCGAAGCGTCCTTCGCTAACGCTATTAGAACATTTTCCACGCCAACGTAAAATGCATCACTAAAACATTTTCCGAGTTTTTGCTCGAGAGCGAGATATCTAGTGCTTTCTCATTTTTCTGCCTTTCGTCGCGAGAGTAATTATCGCGTCGGAAACTTCTACTAGAACTTTGCAGACGATGCGATCGACACCATGCAACGTGGAAATCGCATGATCGCAAAAATATAGATGCCATTAAAGGAGCGCGCGCGCACCGCTTCGACTGATCGAGACCGCCGGGCGCAGTGGGGGATCGTCGCCGCGGAAAATCAACGTCTCTTCTTGGCAGAAACGAAGGCAATCCGTAGGTGGCAACGACGGCGGTACGACAGATCGCGCGGTTTTTCCGCTTTTTTGACAGATGCGAGCGTCAGTGCCGCGCGACGCGTCGCAGTGTCCATTCGAGTGAGGAAATCGGTGTTGTTTACAACAGAATTCGCCCGTGTGCGGTGAGTCAATCCAAAATCTGAATTTGAAGTATTTTGAACGAATTTTGAACGAATTTTAAACGAGTTTGAAGCGTCTCATATCTCGATGCTTTGGCATCGATTTAAATGAATTAATTTCATCTTTTGTTTTTTATGCACTTTGATTGTAGAATATTTTATTATATTTTATCTTATCTCTCTTTTTCAATAATTATGTGCTGCAAATTTAAAATATAATTATATTTCGTAGTCTCTAATAACTTGCGAGTATTAATTTAAAAAGAAAGATTTAAGTTAAAAGAAGAAATTAGAAGAAGGCTAATAATTTAGTTAGTTTAGTACAAGTGTTCAAAAGCAAACTGAACGCGACCTTGGTTTTCTTCGTTATGGTCATGCCTAAGAGGCCACATCTGCTATGCAGACTGGAGCCCATTAGATATGCGAAAAATCTATTTAACTCTTTTAATCCGCTCGCGGCCGAACATTATGGAAAGATAACATTGCGGAAAGTCGGTTTTATAACGATTCTCAGTAAGCGTCAAACGTGACGGAATGAAAATTTGGCATTAGCCATATGCACAGTGCGCTTAACAAATACATCAACACTTTATATTTGTGTTTATTCTGCGACCGTGAGATCATCGCAAAGCTTGTCATATCCAGCGTAATGAGCAAGTGAAATTGTCATTTGTTTACCCGACATTCAATTATTTTACGCAATCCTCAAAACATCCATCACTATTCTAAATATTTTAAATCTGGAAACTAATGTTTGTCGCATGTTTTTAGGGCTGAAAAGATTCCGACGACGAGCTACGAAGCGAGTAGGCGAGGTTACGCAATACCGATACGAGTTTCCAGGTAGATACTTACTTCGCTTTGAATAATGAATATCTATGCACCGATTGTTATAATTTCGTGATATTATTCAACAGTTCATAAAAGTTCCAATCTATATGATTGTAAATATTTCAAATAGTTTTATATATTATTACATATCGATTACGTTTTTACATTTTCAGTCGACATGTTGATCGATATTTTTATTTGTGTATTTATATTAGCGGTTAGAAGGTAATTTGCGATATCAAGTATCTGAATATGTCGATATTCAATTGAGACATTCTTCCAGGTGACCTACTGACATCGTGATCACAAGGAAGGATGGTCAATTCGATATTACTGCTTTGGGCGTTGGTCGGCCTAATTGGCCGAGTGCACGGCAAATGTAGCTTAGCGCCGATCGCCGACAACGAGCGGTCGATCGCTTACGCGTGCATCCACAGCGACCTGAGCGACCTCGACGAACTGTCCAGCGAGACCGAATGGATCGAATTCTCGGTGTCGCGTTTCAATACGATTCCCAACGACGCGTTTCGCCGATTTCCGAATCTCCGTCGCCTGTCTTTCTACAATTGTCACGTGAATAACATCGAACCCGCCGCGTTTCGCGGCCTAAATCGATTGGATTGGCTGATGCTTCACGGCACGCGGATCCACGTCGCGAGGACCGCGTGGTTCCGCCAGCTGCCGAATCTCAGACGATTAATTCTAGACAGGTATATATTTACAACTTAATTAATAATTTATTAAAATTATAAGTTAAAGTTCAAATTTTAAGTCAACGAAAAATATGCAGAAGTGTGTGTAGAGAGCTCAAAATGCGAAAAAATGTGACAAAGATTACATCAAATATCCTCAAATCAATGATCGTAAAATGAAGATCAATTTTTACTTGTCATCAGTTAAAGATTTTATTCCAATGTTCCAATTCGTCTAATGATAATTAGTGCCATACCATTGATTCATGTAAATCGTCATCGATGATCGCCGTATCAGGGAATGCAAAATTTCAAATTCGAGGACATCGACTGATCGAGGCCAGATGCGGTGGCTTATATAAACCGAATGTCAGTTATATATTCGGTAACGCCAATGACCTAGTTATTCGTTGTACCATTACGAACACGATGTCATCGACAGTCGAATGTCGGCGATTAGAAACTAATTGCGCTTAGTGGAGGCCGCGGGATTAAATTTACGTCTACAAAAGGTTCGTTTCGAATCGTGTTAAGGTTTCAGAATCTAAAGATTCTTGGAGATTCTGAAGATTCCCAAGATTCGATTACAATGTTCTTAGATTTTCAATTATTGGAATCAGATTTTTGTAAAACTAAAAAAAAATCTTAAAGTTCTTAAGTTTGTTATAGATATACAATCTCTAAATTTTTTTAATTTTTAGATATCTTTATTTTGTTATTCCTTAAATTTTGGATTTCAAGATCAATTCTCAGAATGAATACGTACTTTCGGCTTGCATGGTACACGATCGTATTTTTTTTTCCAGGTGCGGTTTAGTGTATGTCGAACCCGAAGTTTTTCGCATGTTACCACGACTACAGACACTGGATTTGCGCGATAATGACCTCGATTGTCTATCAGTGGACGAGCTGTCGCATCTGAGGATGCTGAATACTATACGCATCGACGGCAACCCGTGGTTATGCGACTGCCGGCTAAGAATGGAGAAGTTCTTCCGCGAGAAATCGATCGTTCAGGAAGCAGAGTGCAAGATTCGACCGGGGGTATGCGTGTTGCATCGAAATCAATGCATGACACAAATTGATATCCCGCTACCACCCCCGATAATAACCATCGAACAGATAAGGAACCATATGGTAAGTCAACTACTTTTATAGTCGCTTCTAATATCATGAGTTTCGATTTCTTTGGTTTTATTTTCCCTGATTTCTTATCCAAACAAATTTAAACCGCTGTTAAATATTGAATATCATAAATGTAAAATTTTTGTGGTTATGTTAAACAGATTGCACTTTCTGAAAGATTGTATTTTTTTTGTCTGATGTCTACAGAGCAAGTTGCAGACATATTAAATATACTGGCTAAAGAAATACGAAGCCTGAGTCGAGTTGCGTTGTTTACAAGCTATCGCGTTTCGTGGAAGCCAAACTGCGGTCTCAGAATAAAACAGAAACGCACCGATTCCGATTGCGCGCCTAATAACCGCTCAATGTATCGTAATTTTTATTGCTGTGATTTCTATTCTTTAAAAAAAATTAGTTTTATTGTGCGAGAGAAAGTCGAAATTTAATGCTTTCGCAAATGATGGGTAATTAAGAACGTAATTGCGCATCTAATGGCCTTGTAACGTAATGATTCTGCACTTTAGTTTTTGATGTTATCATATACATAAAAGAAAGTTTGACGCGCATCAATTTAACGTAGATATCAAAATAGCGTAAATAAAATATTTAATTAAAAATATGAATATCTTTATAACATAAAAAATTAAATTGATCAAAATATTTCTCATACAATCATATATAACATAAAAATTAATAATTTTAATTTTGTGTCTTTTGTTTTTTAGTCATTTTACTCAATTTCGCACATAAAATCCACCATTTTAAGTTGCAAAAATTGAATATTATATAAAAACTCGGCAATTTAAAAAAAGCTTCGCATATCAACAAAAACAGGAATAAAAATTGACGCTTGGCGTAATAATGGCTCCAATCCTATATTCAACTTTATATGATATAAAATCGTGATTTTTAACAACTTTCCGTAACTTTTTGTGAAGTTAATAAGTTAATCAAACCAATATATTTTTATTTCTTATTCGCGAATGTGAGCCATTGTTATGCATACAAAATGTATTCCATGTACGCTTCATAACAAACAATAAACAACTGATTCAATATGTAAACTCACCTCATCGGAGGACGAAGTCGCGCTTTCGGCAGCACCGCGAATCCTCGCACACCTTCGAACATTGTTGTTCCCTTTCGATATCTCCTTTCGAGTTCCAACGACGATACGCGGGTTCGCTTCGCGATCGCCAAAAACCGCACGAAACATATAATCGATGCACTAACACACATATACGCGAACGGAGAAACGTTTATTATCACTCCGAAGCACCGTTCCCGTAAAAATTACGCACGGCATATGGCGGATACGCGATCGCGTCGGCGATGTGATTCGCAGCGCGATTGTTACGCGTTTCCTTCCCCCTTTTTCAGGCAGTTATTAGCTGACACGCGATTTCCTTTGTGCGACTGACGAAAATCACTCGCGGCACGCATCCGATACGCGCTTACGTGACGGAAACGCGGCTTCGTTTTAATCGATGTAACGACAACTTGCGTAAACCACAAAATGTTGATTATTCGAATGTAGCTTCGTGTGCAACGAATCACGTGACCCGTTGAGCTATTATCCTGATTGGTTCACCGTATAATTAACGAAGTAATGCGCGATAGTAACCGGCGTGCAACCAACATGTTAAAAATTTCTAAAGTTACCGCACTTATCTGCAATCTCGTAGCTACCTTTACTCAGCTGTTCTTGACAATGGCGTCCAAATCAAATTGAAAATCCGCTAAAAAGATATCACAATCCGGTTAGCTATTACGTTAATATTGTAAGTGAGATTGCAACACAACAGAAACAAAGAATAAACGTGAAAAGAAATGAGCGCTCACCTCGCCATTCACGATCGCGCATCGATCTTAGGCGTTTTATCTGTCTCGCTTACTCTCGCAGGAGCGTCCCGGCAATCGCTTCCAGACGAGCGCGCTGACGTCGTTGGACCGCCTACCTGACAAGACCACATGGATCGAGATCACAGGGTTGCGTATCGATCGCGTGCCCGCGTACGCGTTTTTCCGTTTTGGCAACAGCCTGCGCAGCTTGGAGCTGCGCGATTGTTCGATCGGCGCGATCGAGCCGGGCGCGTTCGCCGGTCTGCACCAGCTACAACGTCTCACGCTCGTCGGCAATCAGCTGCCCGCTGTAGCTGCACATTGGTTCGACGATCTCACGATGCTGCGCCAATTGGTACTCGCGCGCAACGGCATAGAGCGAATCGAGCCCGGTGCACTGCATCCACTTTCCGACAGCCTGCGCCATCTTGATGTTCGTTACAATCGACTGCGGTGCCTACCGTTGGCTCAACTGGCGTTTCTGAGACGCCTCGAGCGAATCGACGTTGTCGGTAACCCGTGGAGCTGCGACTGCCGCGAGAATCTACAGAGGATGCTGACGGAGCATAATGTAGGATTCGAGATTACCGACCGATGCTATGAAGAGAACGAAGTTATCGAACCGATCGAGCAGCACCCAATTGTAAACAACGTTTTATATATATAGATATTTTATGAAAATGTCAAAGAAATAGTAAATTTTTTACTCTTAAAGAGAGGTTAATTAGAGTAAATTATTGTGAGCTCTTTTAAATTTTACTGAAAAAATATTTTCATAGATAATAATGGAATTGCAAAAAATTCGTGATAATTATCAGATATTTTTCTTATACGAAGTATTTTTATTAATTTCTTTATTTCTTCTTTTAGACCGAAGTGACTTCAGTTAATGGCCATGTGCACTGGACTTCTTTCGAGGAAACTCTGAACGAGAGAAATATCACTGTGATAAGACCGACTATTACGGTTCATACAGAAAGACCACCGATTCACAGGGGTACCTGCGTACAGGACAGGACCGACCATTCGCGGCAAGTGTTCATCTGCAGTGGCATCACTTCGCTAAGAGAACTAAATGTCGTGCCTCACACAGCCCACACCATTCGCATCATCCTCTCGAACTTGAAGACGATCCCGACGCAAGCATTTTCCCGCTTTGATGGCTGGCTGTCCAGACTGGAATTACGTGGTTGTAGCATTGAGACAATCGAGTATCGTGCCTTTGCTGACTTGTACAATCTGCAGTATCTGTCGCTCCACAGCAACCAACTGGAATCGATCACATCTGAGACATTGGAAGGCCTGGGAAATCTGCGGCATCTGGATCTTTCACGCAATCATATCAACCGAATCACCAATAATGCATTCGACATATTACCGTGGCTGCACAGCCTTGACATCTCCGACAATTATATGAACTGCTTGAGTGTAGAAAATATAGCGTACAAACTGCAGTATTTGCGTTCTCTCCAGGTGTCAGGCAATCCATGGAGTTGCTTGTGCGGTTCCAAGCTGGCCAGCTTCTTGGATTCTCGTAGGATACCATACAATCGCGCAGCTCTGATCAATGTGAACAACGACTGTTACATCACCACGTCCGTGACTTCATCCACAACGGCGGTAGGCACTCCGGGGACGACCACGACCACAACTGAGCCGCCTTCGATAAGAATTCACAACGAAACGATCCAAGGTTCCTGCACCGTTCAAGAGGAATCCGCAGGACCGCGATACCGTTGCATCGGTGGCAATCTGCCATTGCTGAAGAGTATATCATACAATGCTGTTTCTATCGAGTTTTACGAGGGACATCTACCTCATCTTCCGGCCGGCTCTCTCTACCGTTTTCCGAAACTGCAGGAGCTCATCATCAGGAATAGCGGTCTGAGGACGATCGAGGCCGGCGCTTTCCGCGGCCTCGACTCTCTGGAGCGTCTCACCATCCAGGATAATCCGTTGACGTCAATCGAGGCAGATTGGTTCAACATACAGCGTCTTGAGCGGCTGGATCTGCGCGGTAACTCGATACGCTACATCGCACCGGGCGCCTTCCGTCACCTGCGCAAACTTGTCTATCTGAATCTCGAGGGCAACGATCTTGCGTGCATTTTCAGCAGCGATTTGCAGGACATGCCGGATCTACATATCGTCGAATTTGCCGGTAATCCACTCAAGTGGCGCTGCCGCATGGACCTGGAGCAGTTCCTGGAGACACGGAAGATTAAGTTTATCAGGGTGGAGAACTCGTGTGAGGGCAAAAAGATCATGAGGAATCTTCTGTATGAGAATCGGACCGCTGAGCCACTGGAATGTCCGGCCGGCTGCTCAACAGCGACTAAAATTGAGCAGGGAAAAAGTTTATTATTTATTACATTTACATTGCTCTTTGCAATAATACAAAGGCCTTAAATATTTTCTATGTAAAAGTTAAAATTTCTAAAATTTACATTTGATTTTATTATACATAGATTTTGAGGACTGAGAGTCACTCGTTGAATATTGAACAGTAATATTTTAGTGAAACATATGCAGATGGAATAAGTTGTTGATTGATAAAATCATGAAAGGAAAGCCATCTTTGCAAGGAATTAGATGAAGTTAGATTTGGTATTGTTAATGTTGTCATTCAATGTGTTCATACTTAAAACGCTTAAGCTAATAAATATATATATTTATTTTTGCGAATGCATATATATTTTTTAACTTAATTTCTTTAGAATCCTTTTAATATTTGTATGTAAGATAACATTTCCTGATCTCTAGTTATTTTATTAGAATGCTTAGATCTTTAGTAATTGATCGTCGCGCAGTACAATATTAATTGCAGACATCTTTTTGCAATTATCAAACGCATCAGGATAAGAATATAATCTGAAGTATTGATGAAAAGTTGTGTACTATTGCAGAAAGGGACCATCGATAAATAACTATCTTTGATAACTGCAAAAAAGAAAAATTATATTCAACATTATAATTAAATTTACATTCTTTAAATATATATATACAATGCATATATAATACGTGCCATAAAAAATATGTATTAGTGCGACGCTAAAGTACTTTTTACTTGTGTTCATTTTAATATAAAAAGAAGACAATTGTATATAATATATTTGTTGTTAGAATTGTAGCGAGTTACTTGCTACTAAAATATGTAATAAGTCTTACAATTAATAACAATTTATTTTGTGCAATAATTTATTTATCTCATTACTTTATTATTCCCTTAATTGTTTTGTAAAATTGTCCATGCTTATTAAATTATTTTAATATTATAATATGAAAAGTTACAGAAACATTAAAATAATAAAATTACGTATAGATTTACAATTTAAAATTAGCATTTAACGAAAAGCCCGGCTAGCTCAGTCGGTAGAGCATGAGACTCTTAATCTCAGGGTCGTGGGTTCGAGCCCCACGTTGGGCGGAATTTTTTTGGTTATAATTTAATAATGTATTTCTTTTTTATTAAATATACTGAGCATATTAAACAAGTTGTATATGTACGTAAAAAAAATTTTTTTTAATTTAATAAATTGTAAAGAGAAGATATTTTGGGAAAAGCCAAAAAATTCTTTTTAAATTTAAATTTTATGCAAAAGTAGACAGAGAAAATGTTGAATAATGCAAAAAATTGTTGAATAAGAATGCAAATTTATATCACTTTTATAAAAAAAAAGAAATTTTAAGGAATAAAACCGAATTTTATTAGCAGAATGAATGCAGGTTTATTCTATTTTTAAATACTTTATTTCTTTTTTATTTAAAAATTGCGTGTCCTAGTTTTTGTTACCATGGCAATATCATTCTATTCAGGGCGCGGACAATAACAGTTTAAAAACGACATGTGAAATTGCAGCGAAATCTTAGGTAATAAGCAATTTCATCGATATAAAGCACCAGTCCATTTTATGACTCAGAGTCCGATGAGACATCACAGCTCAAATGCATTTTAACAGGCATAAACCTGCACGGTCTAGTCAGCGACTGCGGAATGCATGGTTCCGGATGTGTTGCATCGCTCGCACGAGGGACAATCGATAAAAAGACACTAACGCAATCACAGAGGCCGCGCGTGCGAAATGTAACACACGCACGTCGCATATCAGAGGTTTTTTTTGCAATACTGTGCCACGGAAATATTGACAAGCGACGATAAATATACAATATGAAAATTGTCATTGGCAGGTTAGTTCACGCACGAAGTTGTATTACTTATCCGATATATAACATCGAGAAAAAATTATCAACGCAATTGAAATTGATGCAATCTCAGCAAGTTTTCGATAACGCAAATAGAGAAAAAAGTCTTATTGCTGATCGTTGCGTTTTTATTATTACAAAAAAAACAGAGGCCATTTTCGTGTATTTAGTTGCATTTATCATTGCAAGAGAATTACATTATATAACGTTGTAAACGTCGATGACAAACGACACTACGACAGTGATATGATTTATTATGATTTTTACAATTAATAACTTAATATGTGTTTGAAAAATAAATAACATTAGTATTCTCTGTAACCTTTTCTTAACTTAACTTATAAAACACAGATGGCAGTGCTAGCATCGTTCGATGAGTCTGCTGCAGGAAATCGAACAATAAATAAGTCAAATTATCAAGCTACGATTTGGAATAATCTTAAACTTGCTTCAACATAAATCTTCAAAAAGTTTTATCAGTCGAAAACGATATCTTCGTTTCCTCTTAGGCCTGTTTTCTATTATAATCGAATCTTATCTCCATAGTGGCCCCACAACTTGACTCACGTAGTGCGATATAACTGTTCACGGAACAGATAGAGACAGCCATCTTTCTCGACGGGGTGATGCAATCGATGACATATTTCGACCACATTGTCGGCCCATTATACGCGCACCGTTCGCTTTTTCGAATATTCTGATATTTTTCACTGGACAGAATTGTTTTTGAAATTGCCAAAGTCGAAGTACGTCTCAGCGCCAACTTCCTCGAGAGAATTTTCATGGACTTTAATCTGTCCGTAGGTCGAGCGAAAGTCGCCAGCTGGTGAGAGCTATTTTGAACGAAGCGATGCGAGGTTGCCAGGTCTCGCCGTCTCCTTGCCGCCGTTGCGATCGAACAAGTTCAAACATGTGCCCCCCGTGTTTTGCTCGCCTCGGCATAGAGATAACTGCGAGCGGACTGGCGGAACAACGGCGCCCAGCTCTTTTCACCCAGCCGTTCGCTCTCGCCGCTTTTAGGCTTTTTACGCGCTACTCCAATGAGGTCGCCGTCCGCTGAAATTTCCTTTCGCTGTTGCGCGAAAGACCGTTGAAAACGTACGGAATAGAGGATAATGTAAACCTAGAGGTATCTAAATATTGTATTACATATCGGAGAAATTAAAAAATCTAATTTCTCTGTAAGTTATATTAGAACGTCGCAATCAAACATGAAATTTATGCGATACAATGATCGCCAATCAATTGCAAGTCGTTAGAGTCGCTCTGGACAATTTTTCTAGGCGCGTGATCCTTCGCAACAATGTCGTCCAACCGAGCTGGACAAGAAATCAGGTTGCCTGCTCGCGGCAATGGCGAGAGAGCGCGGAAGGAAATGCGGCAACATAGTGCAACTGCGTGAACGGAGATGCGCGGCATGAATAGCACAGACGTTTGACGGGCCACCGCGTTGACGGGGATTGGCGGGAAAGAGGATCGTCGAGGCAGTAGCAGGGTCGGGTAGGAGTGATGAGTCTGTGTGAGGGGCGAGAGACGCGTAAAAGTTTCCGCAGCGGTGGGGATGCGACCTGGAGTGAGGCGACAAGAGGGGACGCGTCGCCTGCTGACGGCAGCCGTGCGTCTGCAATATAACCAAGGTAATGTTACTGGATAAAGCTGCTATGTTCGGCGGGAATCTTTTGGAAATTCCGTAAAACCCTAGTCTGTTATTCAGTAATCACGTGGTACGTTAAAGCAGGTTTAATTCTGATTTTTAAACGCTGTTTTCCTCTAAATTACCCCAAAAAGTCAGCTTAAAATCCTACCTAACGGTACACCTGTTGTTTTTAGAACAAGACAAGCATATATTTACATATTTAAGAGAAAAAAATAAACATAGGAAGTGTAATGGAAAGGATAGATTTTTGGTTTTGATTGCAGTTTAATATAAATACGTTATACTGAATTTTGTTCAGAGATTGCATTCTTTGTAAGAATTCAATACATCTCGCCATTATATCAAATAAATAAAAATTATGACAATCGAACTTATCGATAGATGAGAGCATTCTCTCGAGGGGCGACGCGCCTCGACGATGATTCGAAATAAAGATCGGGAAGACCGCGCTTAATCGGTAGATAAACAATTATCACGCGTAAAATCCATATACATGACTTGTGCGCGTTTATTTTTTTCCCCCTTGGAATAAATTTATAGTGCAAATAGATTAAATTTTTCACACAGACTTTCATACATACATACATGATACCGGGATGAAACTGTGAGCCACACTTCTCGTTTATTATTCTATTTTTCTTTCTTCTATTTTGAAATTTTTTTGTTATCTGTTTTGTAACGAAGAATTTCAGAAATCTTTACATTGAAACGCACACGATAACTGTCTCTCTTCCTGCTTCAAAAGATATTTTATTTATCGCGTTAACGTCAAAGTCCTTACAAGAATTTTTTAATGTTTCAAATAAATTTCTTGCGCAATGATGTCCCTCCAACACATACACACACATCGTTGTAAACGAAGTCTAACGGCCGCGAACTTTGCGAAGTTCAGAAATGCGCTCTTATTCCCTTATCTATCCGCAATGAAGTTCACTTCTAACTCACTGTCTTACTGTACCAATTAGATAACCGGTGAGGAGAAGGAGGAAGCACGTGGCGGCAAAGTAATTGGACATAATGAGAAGGCTGAAAATACATCGTCGTGAAACATGGGCTTAAAGATGGTAAAGTCCGCATCGTACGATTTCATTTCGCCGTCTATCTCAGCTACAACGGCGGCTAACTTTCAAGGCTTCGATGCGCGACGAAGCTCTCGCGCGAGCGAGCGGGCGGGTGGCTGCACAAACGCACACGCTCGTCGCGGGTTTATCCTTCGCTGCGATGCTCGCCTCTCGCAGCGGTCAGGGCGTGAGGTCGTTACGAGGAAATTGCCGCTCCAAAGTTCAAAATCGCCCCGCGCGATTATTCGCAATGATCGATCGCACGCGGAGCATATATGTATTAAAAAACACGCGCAGAGAACGCGTGCATTCCAAAATCTTCCGCTTTAGCTGATTCTTGAGAAACGGCGGTGACGTCGGCAGCGTGAGCGCGTATCGGTGAAATCGCATGAGGAGTGGCGAAGCGCAGGGAGAAAAAGAGAATGTTGTGTGTGTGTGCATGTGTGTATGCTTGAGGTCTTGGATAGTGGAGAGAGAAGGGAAACGGATTCCCTTCTCGCGTCTCAACCGTTCGCTTGGCCAATCCCCACCGCGTCCCACCGTCGCCGACCGCAACGTCACCGTTCCCCCGCTCTCGGGTCTGCACAGCGCGCGCGGACCTGCCCAGTAAATGCGAGGCTTCCGTTCGACGGGTTTATGTGCCAGTGAGAGAGTGCGTAAAAAGCGCGCTGTACACAGACTGTTCCGCGTACCTCGGCGACGTCGTCGCCGTCGTCACTGAACGGACCATCGCGCGAGCGTCACTATGCCGCTCAGCATCGGTGTTAACTTGCGGGTGACCGGCCACTGTAATCAGGGCGGCCGCAAGTATATGGAGGACATGTTCTGCGTGGCGTTCCAGCCAACACCGGACGACAAGGATTTGGAATACGCGTTTTTCGGCATTTTTGACGGTCACGGAGGCGGGGAGGCCGCGACATTCGCCAAGGAGCATCTTATGGACATCATTGTTAAACAGAAGAACTTTTGGAGCGACCGCGATGAAGATGTGTTACGGGCGATCAGGGACGGATACATGAACACGCACTACGCGATGTGGCGGGAGCTCGGTACGAAGACGTTTATGTTGTGTACTGACAAGCTCGCGCGCGCGACGATCTCAACTTAGCTTCCACGCGAATCCGGAATCGCTGATGAGGTTTAGAAGCTACGATTTTTCGGCATCAGTGACAGTGGCAGATACCGTCGAAAATTTCTGTCACCGTCCCGCGTATTTCCCCCACCACTTCGCGCTAAACCCGATTAGGTTAGAGTTTAGGTTATGTAACTCTCCGAGCTAACCTGAAAATTTGAGTTCAAGGAGCGAAGATAAACGATCGACGGCTTTTTGCGTCGTTCCGTCGCGAATCTGGATCACGGCAATTTCCGTGGCGACATCGTCGCGCGCGCAATGCATAACAGACGCTCCGATACTCCGTCGACCTTGGTCGCAGATATTTTGCTTTGTGGCAAACGCGCCACGACCGTTATATCTTCATCTGAAGTTGTTTTTTTGAACAGATAAATGGCCAAGAACCGCATCGGGACTGCCGTCCACAGCTGGCACAACTGCTAGCATCGCGTTCATACGAAAAGGCAAGATCTACATAGGCCATGTGGGAGATTCGGCTATTATTTTGGGCTATCAGGTAGAAGGTGATCCTCAATGGAGAGCAAAAGCCTTGACAAAAGACCACAAGCCAGAGAGCGGACCAGAAATGACTCGAATACAGGAATCAGGTGGAAAAGTGGTTAGTAAATCTGGTGTTCCAAGAGTTGTGTGGAATCGACCTCGCATAGGACACAAAGGACCAGTTCGTAGATCTACTCATATGGACGAAATTCCCTTTCTTGCTGTAGCTCGATCATTAGGTAGATATATTGAATGTCTTTTCAAAGCGATGTTTAAGAGTTTCGTACAAAAAGGTCTAAGTAAAAACTTTGTTTTAGGTGATCTGTGGAGTTACAATTCCGAATTAAACACGTTTGTTGTCTCTCCCGAACCAGATGTAAAGGTTATTCCTGTTGATGTCAAATCACATCGTTGTCTCATTTTTGGTACTGATGGTTTGTGGAATATGTTATCAGCGCAATCTGCGGTAGCTATTGTTCAAGCCACCGATCGACATAACGAGAATCATTTAATAGCTTCTCAACAGGCTGGCAATGGCGTAAGTTTTATTTCATATTATTAAAATCATGTATAATTTTTAAATGGTATGTACAAATTATAATGATATATACGAATTTTTTTGATAACAGGCTGACGTACAAATGTGGATAAATCCTTCAAAAAGTCTTGTAGATCGTGCATTGGAAAGATGGTCATCAACCAGATTACGGGCAGACAATACTAGTGTTGTAACGTTAATGTTAGATCCATCAGGACCGTGTCGCAGCGAGGTATTTTTATGCTTTGTTTGTGCTTAAGGAATATAGTAATATATAGTATAAAGACACCAAAAACAGAAAATCAAAGGAATAAAAAATATGATTCTATTAAATTTGAAATAATAAGTAAAGAATTTGCAAACAATTTTACATCACACGTAAATAGATTTTAGCTAAAACATTTTTTTTCTGTTAAAGGTATTATTTAATCAAAAGAAGGATCGTGTAATACATCATGGGACACATACACCAATTACAACGACAACATCTGAAAACATTGAGAAAATTAATTCGAAAGTTCCAACACCACACGTGCTGATACCACTTTCAGGCGCTTCTGCGAATTCCAACATTGATTGTAAACAACCGGACTCGTCGAACGGAAGTGAAGAGACTGTTGAGCAGCCATTAGATCCGGAAGCAGTCACGTTACAGTTTGAGAAACCAATTTTACCAGATGTTAATATTTCCTCGGAATTAAAAGAAGACATCACGACAGACAATATTGAATTTATTGACGCTGACGAGAGTATCCAGGTCGATGAAATCTCCTCTAGCCAGATGCTAGAAGAAACTGCAGAACTGGAAGCTAAAAAAGTGGAAATTGTTACCCATAAATCAGAAAATCAGAATGAAAAAAAACAAATAGCTGAACCGAATGAAACTGAGAAGGCAAAAAATGATAACGCGCAGATTTCGGTCCACACCGATCTCGCAGATTCCGATTCAAAGTCGTCGGATAAATTTATCAAGCCTAAGGAACTCGTGGATGAAACAGGACTGTCTAATGCGTCGCAAGGGAATACTTTTCCCGCGAAAAAAGAGACCAAGTTCGCTCCTGTTATAAATAGAATACGTCGGAGTTACAGTGTCAAGAGTAACAGTTTTGACAACGGCGAGATGAGAAACGGTGTTTTAAACGGATCGAGGCACAAACAGCAGCACTCTTTATTTCCCGCCACGAGGACGGGCGTTAGAACGATGAAGCGACGACACAGTTTGAACTCCTCGCAGACGCAGAACGTCTTCTCCGACGCGACGACTCCAGATACAAAAACTTACGTAAAGTCGCGCTACAGCAAGGTGTCGACCGCGAAACAGTCCGTCACGGGAAACGCGACGAAGGAAGAGACGACGAAGAATACGTCGAAACGGACGGGCAGCGACTGCAATATAAGCAACAAACGCAGGCATAGCACGATCTCGCAAGCATCGGCGGTTGCGTCGACCGGTGTGGAGAACGGCTGTGTGCAGCAGGAGCCGTGCGCGAAGAGAAGAACGCGTTCCGAGGACCGACGACAGAGTCCTACAGACGAGAACGATCCAGCGAATCAGGCGATGAAGAATGCCAGCGGTCGCCTAAGTTGGCTCACATCGGATGGACGACCCGACTCGATATCGTTGAACGGCGCCACGACGACGACGTTATCCGGACAGGATAAGCTCTCATCGTCGTCGAACACGTTTCAACGTAGGAGTTTAGGTAAAAAGGCGACGCCCGTTAAAGCCATCAGGAGGCCGTCCATTAACGGTTCGAGTCGACTGCAACAACTGAGAGGCAGTTTCGGCCTAAGGGATTGGGACCAAGGAAGAAACAACCGGACGAACAACTGTAACGACAGAAGGACGCTAAATAGAACAGTTGCGATTATTGGCCCTACAGATACGACGATGCCACAACGATGGCTAAGGTTGGTTTAATTGAGTTTTATTTTTTTTTTTTGTTAGAAATTTAATTTTTTACGCGAGACACGTGAGAAGATTTGTTAAGTGTTTGTTTTATAAAAACGGTATGTTTTCTAAAGTGATATTCTTTATTTTTATTACTTAACTAAATTAGATTATTAAAATGCTGCGGCATTGATTATAGAAATAATACAAATATACATTTAGTTTCTAAATGTATTTATCAAACGTTTACTAAACTGTTATTTTCTCTATTTTATTTAGATCAGATACAATGGCAGCAACACCTGTGAAAACGCTACGTTCGCGTAATGTAGATATCGCCGGACACACCATATCTGCACAACTAGTTCACCAATACGGAGTAGTGAAGCAGAATCGATTGCCTCTACCGAGCAAGTTGAAGCAGCCCGCAAACGATGGATCACTGCAATCGAGTAGAGTTAGGTCTTCCTCATTGTCATCCAAACTCAAACACGCGAATAGTAACGGTGGAAGCGTGAGTACTTGCGCGACCATTAATTCGGCGGGTACAGGTTCCACATCCGGTATAGCGAAGAGGGTGAAGTCACCATACAATCCTAGTGCTCGATCACTAAGCACGCGATCTCGCATCAAACGTCTTGGAAAGTGAAAGGGTAGTAAATGGCCGTAGTTTTGCGTTCGAATTCGCAAAATTTTTAGGGTATGACACTTTTACCCTTATTTTCTTTACTACCTTCGAATCGTCTACAGTGATATAACATTGTTACAAATGCTTTAAATATACTGTTCAACTTTAAAACTTTCCTATTTTCACTTTTAAAACTATTTGCTTTCATTTATTCGAAATATTAACTACGAATGGGACTTTAGCATCATATATAAATTCATATGTCTATTTTATATTTTCAAATAGAATTAAAAGAACTTACGAGACGTAGAATAATCAAACATTGTATGATTGTTTAGGTATATATGGAAATTTAGGTCCCACTTTATTGCGCCAATTTTTCAATCTGTTTGTGACTGATTTATTGAATATTTACTTTATCCTCAATTGTATTTTGTTAATGAAATTACGCTGACTTTTTGTGTTCATATATGAGTTCATGTCTTTTATTTTATAAAATATTATTTGTCCCATATGAAAATAAATTGCTACGCGCTCCCATTCTGCTTATAAAACGTGATCATTAATTCCTTATAAAGGACACTGTAATATCCTTTAGAATGGATTAAATATTGAATTAGTCTCCTTTCAGAAATCAATTATATTCAAAAATTTTTTATGTAGGTTAAAAAGGTGCGCTCTTGCAATTTCTAAAAATTGCATTTTTATGTTTTTAAATAGATATTAAATGCAAATTTTTTAATGTTTTTTAATTTGCGCATATTTGCACAAAAAAATGTGAAAAATGATGTAAAATTATCAGAAATTTAATCCCTTAACGCGCAACTCTGAGTTAACTCGGGCAAGCGGTATTGGCAGAATTGTACAAGCTCGAGTTAACTTGTATGTTTTTTTGTGGGCATGAAAAATAGACTAAATTACTTATGTACGTATCTGATGAGTATAGATGCCAGACAGCTCGTCAGGAATGTTTACTTTTATTTACTCTGTTATCAGCTGTTAAAAACCGTGTGTTAAGGGGTTAATATATTTTACTGCTTATCGTCTATCAAAAAATTTATAAGAGATACAAAAATACAACTGATTTCACTTTATGCTTTTCGATTATTCGACATTAGTAAATGTTGCATAAGACAAAACTTAATGAAAGTATAATGTAAAATAATACGAGTCTATAAAATAGTCTGACAATAAGAAGGTATGAGATTGCAAAAATAAAAATATAAATCCGGTTACACATTTTTAGTGCGATTTTCACGTTAGACGAGGCAACCATGCGGTCACATTAACTATTTAGCTATGCGCACACATGTTTCTAGAAATGATTTTCTCTCCATTAATTTCTCTTAATGATCACAGTCTTCGGCGACAGCTCGAAAGAAATTCGATAAGCGTTTGAGTTGAAGAAGCACCGTATTTAGAATACGATTAAACTATTTTCTAGTGTATAAGATATTGCGATCACACTGATCTGCCTTGGCTGACTACAGAGTGGTTATTGAAGACTTGTAAATAGAATTGTCATAAGAATTGCGTAACATAGCGGAGAACAATTGGCAGACTTAAATCCGTGCTGATTCACGGATATAAAATGTAGATGATTAATTAACGTGTGACAGAAAAAATTTAATCGAAACCAACGTCTCGAGAGAACTCGAGACATATTGAATAACCACTCGGTACGAAGTACCAAATGACTGTTTATTGTGCGATACAAAAATCTAGACTTAGACGGGATATTTAAAGCACGACTAATACAATCGAGGAGTTTCGTGTTTCTCTCGGTTTAACAATTGTACAACAATTGTGTTCCAAATGCAAATGAGCACCATCATACTAGTGATCTAATAACGATTAAGTCATCGAGATAAAAAAAAAGATTTATACATACATATAAATATATTAATATCAGAATTATGTAGATCAACAGCATATATAATCTTCTATATCAGCCTTCATCGTCTTATCTCGTGCAAAATGTCGTGCAAAGAAGAAAAAAGAAAAAAAACAACAACAAAGACAATTCAGGATAAATATCCATTTGGTTTTATCATCCTCTGCGCATAACATTCGTTTTCAAATTTGCATTTCGCATTTATTTAGATACCGCTGATAACTAAGAGTCCTTCGATGTTCGCTTGTACGAATGTATATTCTTTCCTGTTTTGTCTGAATCATTTTTGCACACATATTGAAAGAGGACGTTTTAAAGCAATTTAACAAGGACTAGTGGCAAGAAAGAGTACATATATCTTTTGGATGTAGAAACTTTAGGGTTTATACATTTTTAAAAAAAATGCAAGAAAAAATTTTAAATATTGATGAATATTATATTGACAAAGTATAAACGTTAACCATATATTTATCGAGATCACGTCGACTATTTATTATCTAGTTTTTAAAGCTGACTCGAGTTTCTGTAGATAAGTTTGTGCGAATAATATATGCTTGAAAAATGTATATCGTTTCGAAGTATTTAAAGAAAGATACTACTTGCGGAGTGTAGACGCTGTAAAACAACATAATCTATATCAAAGACGAAAGACAGAGCGATAGATAGAAAAGGGATAATGACACGTGCCTATAATAGTTACCATTCGTGAACGCGTGTATAAAAAAGTATATGTATCATGCACTCTTGTGAAAAAGAAAAAAAAGAAGTCTGTTTTGCTATAAACTAGACTGTTGTGGGGCGGAGCCGAGGAAGAAGATATATGTTAAAGAAGCTAGTGATGGAGATCTATTTTAAGAATATTTATCTTTTTTCGGTGCGTGCATTGCATATATTTGACACTACATGTAAATATAGCGCTAATAGACGTGTGTGTGTGCACGTGTAGATAAATTCTAGGTGATTTGCGCCGATAGGCAGAGAAAAAAAAAAGAGCGAGGTGTAAAGAGCCTCGATATAGCGTTTGTCGTCTGTTGACAAGTTGCGAGGATCGTATCTACTTTATGCGCCCGTAGATTTATCATTTGTTACATCGTAGAGATGATAAAACCAAGTATTTTTAAAAGATGAACGAAGAGTTTATGGCATAAGTAAAGAAATGGAAGAAGGAGAAATGTTAGTGAGAGAAAATATTATAGTGTTTTATCTCAGGTTAAGAGAATCGTGGAGAGTAGATTACAGAAGAACTTGAACAAATGTGTGATCACGTTTATAATCTGTATATTTTAATTAAACTGAAATATATAAAATGAAATATACAACACTTCTTTTATTAAGCATTGGCGCGTAATACCTTTCTGTGGCAATTTTATCTTAATTTATAATAAGTATTGCTTTCGATGGAAAATTATCAATTTCTGTATAATTTTGTAATATTAATTATTCAATATTTATTAAAGTGTGTAAAAGACATGTCTTGTACATGTCTTGTTTCATTAAAAGTTATTTCTTTTAAGATTAATTTTGAATTTGGTATAAATTTGATATAAAAATTGTCAGCGTAATTTAAATTAAATTATTTGTACGTTGTTTACCTTTATTTAAATATTTTTATTAAATTGATTACTTTTTTGACGTTTTTGAGCTAATAAAAAGTTATCTTGTTGGAACATAAGAGTTTATACGTAAGTTATGAGCGAAGAATTTGTAATATATGCGTAACAGGTAGGTCGGCATGCAGTGATTAGGATAATATGTTAATAGGAACACATGATGGTATAGGAGGTCGTACGAGAGTGGTGTCATCTTTGGTCAGTTATAGCAATGACAAAAGCACCTACTATTGGTACACTTACCATTAGCTCGCTTACCATCAGTGGTTTCGTCATGTTGCAACAGCTGACCGAAAGATGGCACTACTCTCGTACGACCTCCTCTATTATCATGTGCTCCTGTCACAATTTTATAAAATTCCGCTTAAAATAGAGCATTTCTAGCTGTTCCAGCGGATATAATCTTAATTTTTCTGCTTTTGGGTTACTTTTGACAGTGTTAGAATACTCGTAAATATTAAAATAATTGAAACGGCTCTTATAAAATTTTTGAAAAGTTTTTTATTGCATAATTTAAAATCCCAATTGTTAAGAGGATGCTGGAGTGATGGGCAAACTCCGACGTGAAAGCGCCATCATTTCGATGGCACTAAAAATGGAAATGACATTATCGGCGTAGCCTACGGACCTACGCCGCGTAGGTCCGTGTGTACGCATTTGTTTGTGTGGTAACTCACTACACTGACGTGTAGTCTGTACGTGTGTCATCGGAAGTTTATAAACAAACGATGCTTGCGCTTGTTTCCTCGACTGAAATTTCGTCGCAAGGCTGCAATATAATGTCCGAGAAGCATAGGCGTATATAAAGTGTCAAATAAATATGAACTAAATATGACAAAATAATAAATAAAAAATATACATATAATACTATATATATTACTGAAGAAAAATGTCATATACTTTTCTTATTTTTATTCTTATGTAGTAAATACACAATAACTAATTAATCAATTAATTAATATATACATATACACACATATTGAATAAATAGTTATCTTTATTTTGTATTTTATATGATAATGACTGAAATAATGAGAGTGTATATCATTTCGGTCATTATACAGGGTGTCTGGCAATAATCGCCCCACCGGTCATATACAGGTAGAGGAGGTCAAATCGAGTAGAAAAGTCCTTTACCATTTTTTGATTTTTGTAATAAGTACTAAGTAATTAACGAAAAAAGATTGGTGAATCCGTGCAAGTAAAGCGCGCGCAGCGAGAAGGACATCCCACTGCTATGCGATCACTAGGCGCGCGATGAAGCGTTGGGAGAAGCGCTCTACAAATGACAATGGCAACATACGAGCGGCGCGTAACGCTAGATCCTTGTGTCCTAGTGATCGCGTAGCAGTGGGACGTCCTTCTCACCGCGCGCGCTTTACTCGCGCGGATTCGCCGATCTTTTTTCGTTAATTACTCAGTACTTATTATGAAAATTAAAAAATGGTAAAGGACTTTTCTACTCGATTTGACCTCCTCTACCTGTATATGACCGGTGGGGCGATTATTGCCAGACACCCTGTATATAATATAAAATAAAGATAACTATATTCAATATGTATATGTATGTATTGAATAATTAGTTAACTTATTTATTTATTTTGTATTAATTACATAAGAATAAAAATAGGGAAAGCATATAATATTTTTTTCCAATTAGATATAAAGTATTATACCGGGTGTTTCAGACCACCCGTCCCACCCTTTTAAAACGTAAGGATGTGCTTGTACAAAAAAAATGACCTTTAAACAAACGTTGTAGGATTTAAAAAGGGGGCCAAACTGAGGGTGATCTTGACTTTGACCTCGCAGTTGATTTTCAAGGTCATTTGAAGGTCAGAGTTATTTTTTTAAATGGAAACCCTTATTTTTGATTCCAAAATCTAATAGCTGAGTTCAAGAGCTTTTCAAAACACTATAATAAAGTTATTTTTTATTAAGTACTTTTCGAGTTATGAGGCTTGTAAATTACAGTATTTTGACATAAAATACAAAATATCTTGTAAAACATTCAATTTTTGGGAATTTTACCTTAATACTTTTATGCGTAAAATAATGAGACGAATCAATTGGTATAAAGAAAACACATAGTTGCTTTCAAAAGAAAAAAATATAATTTGCAACATGCAACTGCATTACTTTTTTAAACCAATGTGTTTTTTATACCAATTGATTCGTGTCATTATT